ATGAATTGTAAAAAAAAATTGGAAATGGTAGTCAAAGACCTCCCCTCTCAAGAAACCTCAGGCCCAAATGGTTTTAAGGTTAATTCTACCAAACTTTAAAAACAGCTAATTCTATTTTATGCAAGCTGTTTCAGAAACCAGAAAACCGGGGAAAGTGGGAGACCTTTCCAGCTCATTTTACAAGATTAGTGTAACACTGACTCCAAAACCAGAAAAAAAACAAGAAAAAAAATTATAGGCCCATTTCATTTATGTACATAGATGCAAAATCCTAAATAAAGCAATAGTTAAATGAATCCAACCTAACACTAAGAATAATACATTATGAACAAGCAGGATTTGTCTCAATAATGCAAGGATGGCTCAACAACAGAAAATCCATCAATATGCTTCTCCACATTAATAGAGGAGAAAAAAAGTATGTGATAATTGAAGCAGAAACATCATTTTGCAAAGTTCAACATCTGTCTATAACTGAGCAAAGTAGGAATAGAAAAGAACATTCTTAATCTTGGGAAAAGCTACATACAGTCATGCACCACAGGATATTTTGGTCAATGATGAACTGCATATATGACGGTGGTCCCATAAGATTAGTACCATATAGCCTAGGCGTGCAGTAGGCTACAACATCTAGGTTTGTGTAAATACACTCTATGATGTTCATACAACAACAAAATCACCTAACGACTCATTTCTCAGAGTGTATCCCCGTTGTTAAGCAATGTATGACTGTATACCCAAACCCTACAGCATATATCATACTAAATGGATAAACCTTAGATGCATTCCCTTTAAGATAAAAAACAAGATTAGGATATCCATTATTACCACAAATGTTTAACATAGTGTTGGTAATCCTAACACTATAAGAAAAATGGAGTGAAGGAAATGAAAGGAAAAAAAAAATTATATTCCCCAAACATTTAGACATCAAACAAAACACCTCTAAATAATCGAGAGATCAAAGGAGAAATCCTAAAGGATATGAAATATTCTGAATGACAATGAAAATAAGATAAAATCTGTGGGATGTATCTAAAGCAATGCATAGAGGGATACGTACAGTTTTAAAGACTTTATTAAAATGAAAGGTTTAAAATCAATTAAGCTTCAAAAAAGCCATAAGTAAACAGCAAATTAAAACCCAAATAGAGGGCCCGGCCTGGTGGTGCAAGTGGTTAAGTGCGCGCGCTCTGCTTCAGCAGCCCGGGGTTCGCAGGTTCGGATCCCAGGCACGCACCAACGCACTGCTTATCAAGCCATGCTGTGGCGGCATCCCATATAAAGTGGAGGAAGATCGGCACAGATGTTAGCTCAGGGCTGATCTTCCTCACCAAAAAAAATTAATAAATAAAAATAAAACCAAAATAGAGAAGGAATAATAAAAATGAGAGCATAAGGTAATAAAATAGGAAAAAAAAAAAAAACCAGATAAAATTAAGAAAGCCAAAAGTTGGTTCTTTGAAAAGATTAATAAAACTGATTAAACCCCTAGCAAGACTGGTCAGATAAAAACTCAAGAACAAGCGTGCCAATATTAAAAGGGAAAGCAGGAACATTACTACAGATCCCATAGTCATTATAAGAATAATTAAAAGAATATTCTGAAGAACTTTCTAGCAAAATATCAGCAATTACATGAAATGGACAAATTCCTAAAAGTCAAAAATTACCAAATTTGACAAAAAATAGAAAATGTGAATAATCCTGTATCTGTTTCAGAAATTGAATTTGTTATCCAAAGTATTCCCACAAATAAAAAACTCTAGGCCCAGATGACTTCAAAATTCCTCAAAATATTAAAAGAAACAATACCAACCTTACATAAACTCTTCCAAAAACACTTCCCAAATTGTCTTATGAGGCCAGCATAACCCTAATACCAAAACCTGACAAGGACATTATAAGAAAAGGAAATTATAGACCTATGTCCTACATAAGCACGGATACAAAAGGCCCTAACAATATTAGCATATCAAACAGCAATATATAAAAGGGCAACATATCATAACCAAGTGAGATTTATTTCAGGGATGTAAAGTTGGTTTAACATTTGAAAATCAACCAAGATAATTCACCATATTACCAAACTAAAACATAAAAAACAATGATAAATAGAGAAAAAGCATTTTCAAAATTCAACATCTATTCATGGTTCTCACCATGCCTATTGAACATTGTACAGGAAGTTCTAGCCAGTGCAATAAGAGCAAAAAGAGATAAGATTGGGGAAAAAAATTGCAACTTTTTATTCTCAGATGACAAGATAGTGTATGTAAAAATCAAGAAGATTCTACACAAAAGTAAAAAAGAATACTAGAACTGAATGAATTTAGTAAGGTTTTAAGTTACAAAGTCAAAACTACAAAAATTAATTGCATTTCTGTACTCTAGTAATGAGTAATTGAAAAATAAATTAAAAAACAACTCCACTTACCACAGTATCAAAAACCCGAAAAATTTTAGGAGTTTAACAAAGGTTTGTGAGATGTCTACACTGAAGACCATGAAACATTCCTGAGAGAAATTAAAGACCTAAAATAAATGGAGAGATGTATCATGTTCATGGATTAGAAGACTCAATATTGTTAAGATGTCAGTTCTTTCCAAATTGATCTACAGATTCAGAGCAATCCAAATCAAAATCATATCAGGACTTGTTTAAAAATTGATCAGCTGATTCCAAAATTTATATGGAAATGCAAAGGACCTAGGATAGCCAGAACAATCTTGACAATAGAGTTGGAGGATTTACATTACCTGACTTCAAAGCTAAGTTAAAGCTACGGTAATCAAGACATCAAAAGTGAGCTACTAGGTATAAGGATAAATGAATAGAACAGAACAGAAAGTCCAGAAATAGACCCACATTTATATAGTCAATTAATTTTAAACAGAAGCACCAAACAAATTCAATGGAAATAGAGAATATTTTCAACAAATGGAGCTAAACCAAACAGATACCCTTATGGGGTTTAGGAGGAAAGAATATCCTCAATCCTTGTCTCACACCATACACACAAATAAATCTGAGATGGATCACAGACTTAAACATAAAAGTTAAGACTATACTGCTTTCAGAAAAAAACATAGGAAAATATCTTCATGACCTTGGGGCTGACAAGGATATTTTAGACAAAACACAAAAAGTACATAACCATAAAGGAAAAAGAAATTGGACTTCATCAAAATAAAGCACTTCTGCTCCCCAAAGTCACCATTAAGAAAATATACAGGCAAGCCACAGCCTAGGGGAAAATGCTAGCAATACATACATCTGACAAAGAACTTAACATCTTTATATAAAGGATTCCAAGCATTCTATCATGAGACAAGCAACCTAATGAAAAAATGGCCCAAGACTTGAACAGACATTTCAGAAAAAAAGATAAATTTGCCAATAAGCATATGAAAAGGAGTTAAACATCATTAGTCATCATGCAAATTAAAATCACAAGGAGATATAATAGAACAACTCTCTCATAATTTCAAACAAATGCACATAAAATGGCACATACAATCACTTTGGAAAACTTTTTGGCAGTTTCTCATACAATTAAACATAAATCTACCTTATGACCCAGCAAGTCTACTAGTTATTTCTTAAGAGAAATGAAAACATGTCCACAAAGAATGTTCATAATAACTTTATTTATAATCGGTCCAAACTGTAAATAACCCAAATATCCATAAACAAGACAGAGAATAATTTGTGGGATGTTCATGAAACGGAACACCACTGAGTAGCAAAAAGAAACAAACTATAGATATATGAAACAACATGGATGAATCTCACAGATTTTGAGCAACAAAGCCAGATGCAAAAGTGAACATACTGTAAAATTCCATTTATATGAAATTCAAGAAGAGGTAAAACTAACCTATGACAATAGAAAACAGAAAAATGGTTGCCAAGGGCAGGAAGCAAGGCATAAATTCACTGGAAAGCAGCATAAGGGAAACTTGCTGGGATGATGGAAAGGTTCTTTACCTGGATTGGGGTAAGGATTACACAGATATATAGATTTGTCAAAAGTGATAAAATGCAATCCTAAAATCTTTGCACACCATTGTCTATCAATTTTACTTGTATACCATTTTACCTTAAAAAATTAGTATTAAAAATCTGATGTATCAGAAGAGGGCCTTCTGCCATTCCCAAAAAGAACCGTTCAGAGACATGTGGACTTATCTCCATTTACAGTAGCTTTGTCAGCCAGTTAGCTCTTCAAAATAAAACTTGAATTGTTTTTGAATTCACAAATTTTATGGTGAAATGCTGCTCATAAAATTTTTTTTGTCTTAAATTTCTTATTAAGAACATGATTCATCATGTAGTATAATAAAAGTTAAAGACTGAAGTTATCCTAAAGATAGTCCAAATCCTCAACTCCTTTTAAAAACAGATGCCTAAATTGACTTGTCCAGGATCACATTCTTATTTCATTTCAGAAATAAAAATACACTACATATATCATACATTGTCATCCTTTGCAAATACTAATACTCGGGCAAAGACAATAGCATACCCTTTTAATAAACATAGATTAAACAATTATGTGTTTTAACTGGCAACTGAAGAAACATTAGGAATAGTGATTGTCAACAGGAGGTTAGAATAGTTTATATATAAATATACATTATATCAGGTATATTTTAAAGAAAGCACATATTTTCTATGGACCAAAGTATTTCCAAATTCACACTGGCTGGCTTTTCACGAATGATGCAATTTTTAGTTGAAGTGTGTTGGTCTTTACAGTTGGTGCATTTCTATCACATCCTTTTTCAGGAGATGTACTGATGATCTATAAAACCTGAGTAACAAAGAACTTCTAGATTTTTGAAAACTGCAGTCAGTGAAAGGCATAAAGGCATTCCTATACTATAACGGAGGATAAATATAGTAGAATTTAACTCAAAACAAATTTGGCAGTGCTCGTTGTGATGGGCAGAGAGAGGCTAAAAATGCCTAAGTAATGGAAAAACACTTTTATTTATATAGGAAAATATTTATTCAATAAATATAATTTAGTAAACTTTAAAAAATTACTGAGAGCTGTACAATAAGTATACTGCATTTACTCACAATGCACAGAATTTTTAAAGGATTGTATTAGACAGCCACAGTGTCTGAGGTCCAAAATTTTAAACTAAGTGTTGCTACAGTATTTCCAGCTACTAATAAAATCTAACAATCACCATTATTACAAACATATCATTAGTTATGATCTATTTTTTGAAGGAATATCATTCAAGTTATCTCACAGAAACAGCATTTTATAATATTCTATTTTTATGAAAATAGATGACTCATTTCAAGATAGAAATAAAAATGTCTCTAAAAGGGGACCAAAATTAATGAAACATGTTTTTCATAACTCTTTGGTATGTTAGTTTTATTAATACATGCTTATATCATACCCTAAATCGATCTTTACAGGAAAAACACAAACATGGAAGATTTTCCCTTTTCCCCCAGCCCCCCAATAACTTTTCAGAGAAGCATCTTTAAAAAACTTTCAGTATTAATCGTAAATTTTTTAGTGGCCGTGACTCTTGCCTATCAGATAGGAGTCTCAAGCTTATCACATAAGCCCAAATTCACAATCTTAGGCAGTAGAAATGACCCTGGTCTGAGTAAAGGTATTTCTTAACAAGGTGATTTGCCTCTTTTTAATCTCCTACTCAGGACAGTGCCAGAGTTTGCATGAGGGAAGAAGACATCATGGGACATTAAGACCCAAGGAAGAGGGTAGTTAAGAGAAATTAAAACTGTAAATTTTCCCTTTTTCTTCTCGACCCCACAGCAAGCCTAGGGCTGCAGTGCTCCTGGCCCACACTCTACTCCTAGGGTGATCCTAATGCTTGCTGAAGCTGTGGCAGGGTGCTGAGTCACCTAAAGCAGCTGATGGGCAATTCTGGAAACTGACTCGGTGCTTGCTACTATCTTTAGGGCTACAGCCTTCAGAGATGGCAAAGGCAAGCAAGTGAGGCAAATAGATTTGAGACGGTTAATTAACTAGCAATAACACACGTAGCATCTTACTCTGGTTTTGGCAGATAAGAGTAAGTTAATTATCAACATCGTAATTTCCAAAGGATTTTCAAGAAACATGCAAAGGGGAAATTTTCTGTGACTACTGGTTATGTAATAATAGTTTTACAATATGAATATTAACACTAGAAAACTATTGAAAACTTGTAGACAACACTATTATTTTCTTAAATACATACAAGAAAATCCTTGTCTTACAGTTACAAGATAGTCTTCCTTTAAAAGGAAGGTCTTGAACAACAGAGCAAGATGACCATATCAGTGGAAGTCATTTACTTTTTTAAGATACAGTTCTCGAATAACTTCAAATAGTGAATGCAGAAAATGACATCAATCATTTAAGCACCATATAGGTTAGCTGACCTCCTGCCTTGCTGCAGTTGTCAGAGACTTCTTGACGGCTTTGTAGTCCTTCTCTAGTGTCAGTGGTCAGTTTAGTTGATGGCAAATAAACACTGTAAGGCAGATGTAATGCAGGCCTACTGAACGTCATTTTGTTATATGAACACTTTATAAGACATTATAAGGAAAAGCAAAGTCCATATTATCCTCCACTAAACTACTCTACCAAATATTTTCTGCAGTATTTCCTCTTCTGGAACATGAATTGCTGAGTGTATACATTGGACATTTTATCATCCCTTTAGTGTATTTCCAGAATAATAGTGTCTTCCTAAACCCAATTTTGGAATATCCAAGTTAAAGAAGGGCTATTTATGAAAAATAATATTTATGCTGAAATTCATAGCCTAATATCCTTGCATTATTAAAAAAGACAAATGTTATATTAGTAAAAATAGTTTATCAGTAAACAAAGGTAAAGTCTTAATTCTTGACTCTACATTCTTTGCTTATCTGCCCAATTCCAGAAGTCTTATATTCATGAAATGGGAAATGGGTGGAAGGTTGTGCAATAAATCTACAAAAAGGAGTTATTATATTCTCAAGGCAAAAGTTTTGCAAAACCTTATTTAACCATTCCATACAATTTTAAATGTATATGTACACAAACATTATATGCTTAGAGTCGGCTAACAGTTCTTAAACCAACAATCATTTCCAAAGTTTTAAACATTACTTTTTGTCAAAACAAATGACAACAATGGATCTACATGATAAATTTAGTATGGAAATTAACTATTGAAGTGCAGTGAGTTAATTACACTAATATGTAATCGATTCATCATTCTTAGCATTTTAATTTATTGCTGCCATTACCTCACAAAATTTAGCATTTTAGACTTTGTTTCACTTACATTCTATAGCCACACCTGAAAATTTACCTTATAATGGGACACTGGGCAAATTTCACTTCACTGTGGTAGTCTGCTGTAATTTAGATAATATATACTAACCTAAAAATAACAGGATTCCTATCTGAAATCCTTTATTCTAAAATCTAGCTTACAGAAAGGCAGAGCAAGTCTCAGTTAGCCAAAGAAAGAGGCTCTTCTCTTTTTATTGGTTTAATTACCATAATATTTTGATTTGTATAATTAAAAGTATTTGCAATATTTAAATACTGTCCAAATTTGTTTTTATTGATACAGTTGAACTTTACAACAGTGTCATAAAATACTATAAACAGAGCCTTCAGAGAGAGAGAAAAAAAAGCAAATTGAAATATATTAACCAGATTAAAGCATGCAAAATATCCAATGATAAACACATTAAATAATAATATGCTAATGGTATATAATTTACCCACTATAGGTTCTTCATATTCTGTCACAAAAATATTAGTAAACATCATATTGAAATTTGGTGAATGGACTTGATTCCAATTTATGTATATGATATACCGTTTGCATGTATATGGTTAACTTTACTGGCAGTGTTACAGTACCTAGAGAGAAGTTTGGTATTGGTATGTATTTACTACCAAAGTGCAGTAAACGATGTTTGGAAATGCATTCTCCTAATTTGCTCTGTGAACTTAGAAAGCATTAATGAATTAACAACATGGGTCACTGAGGGACCAAAATTTCTTACTATTCACATTAACTCTTCCCATGAAAAGCTTCAAATATAACTCTAATAAAAAAATAGAGTTTTCAAGGCAACTTTTCAGCATAATTTACAGAAGCAGATTTAAACAGAATACTCAATAACCAAGCTAATACTAAAAAATACAATTCACTAGGAATTATTTCCCTTTTCTATCTTGATATTAAAATATAGTGGCCTTAGCAAGAGGCTGAAATGCCATTAAGGAGTCCCCTAAGCACAAGGGAAGATCCAGACAAAGAGATGCAAAATGTCTCTTTATTCACAAAGTTTAACATAAGGGAGTTGAGAGGGGTTCCCGTTAATGCTTTTTGTTTGTTTGCCATTATAACTCTGAGTGGGTATGAACTACTCCAGAGATTTCAGAAAGTAAATCTGAAGAGCCAGTATGGCCATTACCAGGATGATCACACTGAATTTTAGGAAAGGAGTTGAAATGGCTCCCACAAAGTACTACTGCCACTTTAACAAGTGGATGATTCCATTGTGGAGAGAGTCAAGATGCTCCTGTCGTTGGTATAGAAAGGATCCGATGCACTCCATAATCTAAAGTAACAGTAAGAGAAAAGTTTAGCTCACCAGGACCTATGTTTTAATTAAGAAAAAAAATTTACTCTAAAACTTAAAGACCAAAGTGCAATGAGTATTAAAATAATCATTGATTGATTCATTTTTAAACACTAAAGAGAAGTTCTTCATACTAGCATTGAATGAACATTCTATTTATATTATAAAAAAACTTGGGAAAAATGCTCTAGTCATTATATAAAAAAATATTAGCCAAAATTCAGACATTCATCAGCATTAAAACAATTTGTATAGGTAGTAAAGCATATGACACTCTTAAAATCTTAACAATTCAGTAAGAAATAAGCACGTTTTAAGAGTTATGCATATTCAGTTTTACTGAAAAGCAACTAGGCTGTATTTTGACATCACAGAAGCAAACAAACAAAAATCCCATTTATCAAAAGCTTTGGAATCAAATAGTAGTATGTTCATATTATATTATTATCTCTTTTCAGCTATAAACCCTATTCTAAAGATTTTAGCATAATTAGCTTGACTGTAGTGAATACTTTATTCAATAGGTATCAAAGATACCTGTAAGTCACTAGGGTTTTCATTTAACTAAAACAAACGATCCTCTACTGGTCTGGAAAAGTTAACTACTGTCTGAATGATAAAGCCGATTAGCAATTAACACTTTATTTGCAGCTGTATTAATTTAAGCTAAAATAACTCAAGACCAAAAATAGCCTGTCATGCTTCAAGTAGCCTAATCTATTTCAAGAACAATATTAGGATTACCAAGTCAAAGGTGGTTTTTCTTAGAAGACTAAAAACACGTAACACGAAATACATTTTATGTAACTTTTTCAGGGTTTCCATTTTCCTTAAACAAAGATGTTAGAGGAAGAGACCAGCATTTAAAATGCCCAAATTCACTTTTATCAAATAATCTGCTATTTCCTAGGGACTCTGTTTGTATGTAGATCGAGTTTAAATCAATTAAGTGAGCACAGTCATAATGAAGTTTGGACCTAGAAATTTTACAAAGTTGGCAAAGAGGAAGACAAACAAGCAACCACCATACCAGTGGTTTACAGGTTCTCTAATTTTACTAGTTTCCAGAAAACCTTAAACAATATCTACCTTAGTTTAAGGAAGGCCTTGTTCACTACTGTTCTCTAGCACCTCGAACTATGCCTGGTACATAGTAGGCACTCAGTATTTGTGAAATAAATGAATGAAATGAGACTGAGCAGTTCTTAGAATAAGTATTTATGCAAGAAAAAGTATGCTCAGACACATATTACAAAACATAACTATCAACACCCCAATTATCTGAAGTCAAGTTTCCACTCCCAAACTGCCAATATTTTGTATTAGCTTTTCCTCTTTTCCAACCATTGCTTACATAGAAGAATCTTATCAGGTAAGGTTTCCTTCATTTTTGATCTTTTCAAAGCACACATGTGCATTCATATGTTAAATATCATATCTGAGAGAACACTAAACACCTGAACTACATAATAACAGTCATCTCCTTTCTATTTAGAAAATAGTTTGAATTAGGATAAAGTAACTGTTGGTAAAATAATAGAGAAAGTCATTTATTGTGAAGTACAGCCCTTTCGGGTACAAGAGGCCATATCCTTTATATAGCACCCTGATGCTATCTTTGAAAATGAGCTTGCAATAATGGCATATTTCTTTGACAACATCAATTAACAAAATGTAAGTAGAATTTTTAGGCATGGATGGTAAAAGTTTCTCAGCAGAGAAATCTGTCATATGAAAGCACGAGTTGTATTTCTCAAGTAATGCCCATTACCTCTTATGTTTAATATGTAATGAATTCAAGGGCTGCTACATTTTGTAATAGAAGCATCAGCCTTGCCCTTCCTTTCAATTAGATGTGAAATAGAAATGTAGAATAGAGGCTGTTCCAAAATCAAAACAGGAATGCCAAACATATTTCACTAATATAATTTTATGTAAAAAACAAAAACAAAACTCTATATTTCAAAATGACTTTCAGAGTTTAAATATAATGTTAATGGATCTATGGCAATTTTCATATAGCCCTTGGAAAAGCACCAAGTGGTTCTGCATATTGTATGATTTTATCCACTAGAAAAAAATGAACAGATCTCAAAAGACTTATTATTCATTTGAAGAAAAAAACGGAGATAATGACAGTAGTAACCAAAAATATAACCTGAGATATCAGACAAAATTGGAAAGGTATTTATAGTCTGTCAAATAAGATATTAATTACTATTAAACATTTTATCAGAAAAATGAAAAAATAAAGTCTTACGAAAGAAAAGAATATGGTACAATATTAAGTGAAAACAGGTACATATGATAACAGCCACCTTCAAGAGAATATGCCAAAATAAATCCCATAATTCCCGGGCCTGGTTCAAAACGGATAATGCAGTATAAAAACAGCTATGTAAAGAATAATGGGGGCATATTACCTAAATAATTGTAATCGAGAAAATGGGAATATATATAAAGCAGAAAAATATTTTTTGGCTCATTTAAAATTAATTCTAGGTTTTTTTTAATAGTTAATGAAGACATATATTGTCATTGAGGAGAATGTCCTGTTGAAGTAGAAATTTGAGAAATTCCGTAGAAGTTCTATAGTAGTCTCTTAGTCTAACTCCTATCTTAGCTCTGCAGAATAAAGCTGTCTTAAATAAAAGTCCTTCTGGAATTTCCTTTGGGAAACTTGTTGGCCTGGGTACATGACAGTGCTGCTTTCTTACAATGCATTTTAAAATACAATTGTGTAGGTCATAACATAAGTTCCAACAAATTTAACTGCTCATGGTAATTCTTTTATGTGGAATAAAATTACTACAAAATGGTATCATAGCATTACGGAAATATTTTTGATCACACTTTATAATCAATAAATGGAGACTGAAACCCTAGCCATTATATTAACATAAGAATGCTATTTATAAATGCAACTGTACCATCAAGACATGGCCATAACTAAAGGCAAAGTAGGAACTAACAAGTTTGCCAGTAACAGTTACCTGAATTTTATGATACATGAATGACATTATACTCATCATTTTTAAAACACAAAGGCTAAGCACGTATTAAAAATTCTTTTATCAACAGATACAAGTAGTGCCTCCTCCTCCCTTCTCCTTCCTCTTAAGATACTTGTTCCAACATTGTCCAAGCCACGGCACATGCAGAAAGTGGTACTATTCACATGGCACACTGTGGACAATGGAAATCACCATTTATCCCTGCCCACTTGTAACCCTTCATGCACACCAGTGCACTGCTGCTCTGCTTTTGGGAATATGATATCATTCACCAAAAAAAACACCAAAGTGTGAAAAAAGTTATTTCTACTCCTTAACATCCCCTAAATAATATGTCTCTTGGGGAAATGTATGAAGCAATGAATCCATTTCACTTTTAAATAAATTTAAGTGGCAGTTACCAAAAAAAAATGGCATTTTTTGTTATGATCCACAAAAGCAAGCACTGATAAATCTAATTCAACAAATAGATTTGGGAGGGGACAAAAATGCTAAGATTCTTCTTCTTTTTTTTTTTATAATTTTATTTATTTATTCCCCCAAAGCCCCAGTAGATAGTTGTATGTCATAGCTGCACATCCTTCTAGTTGCTGTATGTGGGACGCGGCCTCAGCATGGCCGGAGAAGCGGTGTGCTGGTGCGCGCCCGGTATCCGAACCCGGGCCGCCAGCAGCGGAGCGTGCACACTTAACCGCTAAGCCACGGGGACGGCCCAAGATTCTTCTAAACCATAATTTAAAGAGCCTGTTCTAACTTATGAACTTTTAATTAGACCACAAATACCATGTAAAAACTTAAAAATCACAACTCATTTTAAAACCTCATTACAGAGATAAAAACGGGTGGGAGAGCAGAAATACAATCTTTCGTGTTTATAAATACCTCAAAATCTCAAATGACTGTCAGAAAATATACATGAAAAATAAGAAAAGCAAAATCTTTTGTTACGTGTAGATTATTCTGTAAATACAAAAAGCAAAAAGACAAAGAAAGAACAAATACAGAAAATAAAACAGTATTATAGGTATAATCAAAAAAAGAAAGCTATAAAAACCAAATAAGCGCACCAGATACACTCCTAGTTAGTACATTTTAGAAAGACTGTAAAGCAAAATTTTTTGTTCATTAGATGAAAAGTCTCTTCAAAGGTGCTTCTCTTCCTTTGTTGAAAGAACCCCCTACCCCAAAGCACAAAGTGAAATCTACTATCAAAGAGTGCTAATAAATAGCACACTTCCTGCTTCAGTTGGTAAAACCAGCTGCTGATTTATTAGGCGTCTAGAGATGCAGGTTCATCCTGTCCCAGTTTACAGGATACTCATCTGCAGCAAAGGCTACTTAGAGAAATTTCACACCTGCTGACATGGGTTGGACTACATCTTCCTATTACTCGTTCCAGCATTCTTCCAACAGATGCGCACGTTGCTTCTCCTTCTGAGAAACAGCACATGGAGTCCAAGCACTTGACACTTGAATTTGTTTTAATAAGCTGGGGGAATCGAAGCAGAAAAAATTAGTTATTTAGAGATTTAGATTTCCAAAAAGCATTTCAAAAAAATTACAATAAGCACTTCAAAAACAAAAGTAGTGTATATAAACATGTTTTCTATAATACGGAAATGTATGGAAGGCTTTAATTTAAGTGTAATCATATAAAAATATTCAAAAGGCACTGTGTCTTAAATTAGAGGTCGAGTAAAATAACTATATAACCACAGCTGGATATTACTTAAATCTGCAAAGACTTTGGGTTTTAACATCTTATTTTAATAATTTATTATGGTCAAAATAATTTACATCAACTACTTGGAAACTTATTGCATTCTAATTCTTTTTTGAGTTTTTGTTTAGGTGAAATGATCCTACAATTTTAATTAAAAATGTTTAGCAGTTGAGAAAAGTGGAGTGTGAACTATTTTGAAGACTGGGAAATAACCAGGCAGGACCTAACCCAAATGTTCAACAACAACAATAACAGCAGCAGCAACATATACAGTCATGTGCCGCATAATGACACCTCAGTCAACGACGGACCACATATACAATGGTAGTCCCATAAGATTCATACCATATAGCCTAGGTGTGTAGTAGGCTATACCATCTAGGCTTGTGTAAGTATGATGTTCGTAAAACAACAAAATTGCCTAATGACACATTTCTCAGACCATACCCCGTCGTTAAGTGACTCATGACTGTAGTGGCAAACACTTTATGTAGTGAGTGTTTACTATGTGCCAGGTTCTAAGCACTTTACATATATCCACTTCATAATTATCCTTGAAAAAAGCATCATTTACCTTAAATTGCTAAGCAAAGATTAAGTGCCAACCATGCTCATAATCAGATTATCTTGCTTTTTAAAATTTAACTGATGGTACATATATTAAAATCTATTAAACAAGTGACTAAGAAGTACTATTAAGATTTAAAATTGAATTAATTTCTGAAAGTGTGCAAGATTCATATTGATTCAGGCATAAATAACCCAGCAAGATAACTTAAAGCCATACTACCACTAATTCTAATCCTGTTAAAATGAGGGGAAAAAAATATTATGACCACATAGCCCAATGAACCCCAACCCTAGTTTTGACACAGTCAGGGGTACCCCTTAATTTCTGAAGGGTTGTCATTTTAAATTTATTTTCATTCACTTTCTTTTACATATATAACACATTGCATAACAAATCTTTCGAAAGTATAGAGGAAGAAGGACAACAAAAATAGATTACAGTGTTGCAATTCACAAAGGTTGGGAATCACCAAGTGTCTAGTGTAGGCATGGCAACAGGGGACATTTGTGGAGACACTCACAATGGACAGAAGAAATGGATGGGGTGGAACGTAAATAACCTGGCATTCCAAACCTAAGCAACTGGTGAGGTCCTGCAAAATCCCTGCTTAGGGTAATCTTGCCAAATACCAAGCAGAGACAGACAACATGGTTCCTGTCTGGCAGTTACCAGATTGCACCAACGTCCTAGGATCTGCTAAGCACTGAGAAATAGCCAACTTTTACTTGTTCTTTCATTGCAATACTCTTGGTTTAGGACTGTTTACGGTACCGTTTCTTAAACTGTGTTTTGTGAGATGTTCACAGACACTTGACGAAAAAAAGTTCTGTGGCCAATGAAGTTTGGGAAACACTAGTTCAACGAAAGTCTCAACTTTAGACTTTTTGAGTAAGATACTACCAATAAGTCAGGATGCATGATCAGTCTCCACAGGGAGAGCTAGACATAGGGCAATTCTCAAATTTGTTTTCTCAGTAAACTCCCTCCCGCCCAGGAACATTAATATTCAGAGGTATAGTTTAGGAAATGCTAGTTCAGGTAACAGGATTTCATCAGTTTCCTAGGTTCCTCCTTGGGTCCCTGGGCTCTAGCTTCCTCCATGTCAAAATCACTGTCTGTAGGAAACAGGACTCTACAGCTCCTCCATGCTCAAAAGAGAAGAAGCATATCACCACAAGCAGGCCTTTAAGGCCCTTTATAACCTGGCCTCAGGCTGCCTTTCCTGCTCCACTTCCCAATGCTCCTGTGCAGTCTCCACACAGCCAACCAGGTCATGTTCCCTGCCTGTGGGCACGTGTCCGGGCCTGTCACCAATTACATCACATTCAGTTTAAATACCATAATCTCCATGAAAATTCCTTTACCTCTCCAACTATCAGTAATCTCTCTCTCTGTCTGGATTCTATTCCACTGCTTGTTTGCATCACTTAAATGGCGCAAGCACTTAAATTCAACTTATATTTAATGAGTAAGGCACTGTGCTGGTTCCAACAGGGGATAGCAACCCTATCCTCAATCTAGTGAGTTAAGGGTAAAGGAAAGGGTGGGAGATAAGTCAAGATCAAATAATAATGGCAGTTATATTAATGGAATGTTTACTATGTATGTACCAGTTACTACGTAAGACACTTCTCATGAATTATCTCATTTAAAACTTAGAACAACTTTTTGGGATGGGCACCATACTCAGACAAATTTTACAGATGAGGAAACGGAGAGGTTAGGAATTTGTTCAAGGTCACCTAGCTGGGGTTTGAGTCTTGGTTTCTTTGATTTCAGAGCCCAAACCTCCTGACTATGCCATTATACTGCCTTCTTATAATTATGGTATGAGGCAGATTACAAATATCAAGAAAGAGGAGAGAAAGCTCAAACCCAGCTGTTGTTGGTATTAGTGGGAGGGCACAAAAGATTTGATGAAAAAGATGGCATCTGAAATACATCTTGAAGACTGGATGGGATTTCAATAGCTGGAGATGGGGAAGAAAGAGCATTCTAGGCTAAGCAGAGAGAATGAGTAATTGTGTGTGGGCAGAAAAGCATGATGTGTATTCAGCACACGTTTAGCCTAAGTGTAAGGCAGAGTGGTTGTTACTGCTCCTCCCTTGCAAAAAGACCAGTGTGACTCAAAGCGTGATCCATGGATCAGTGCTGGTCCGAAAAAACTGTTACGGTCCCTTCTGGAGATAAGTGTTTCCGGTCTGTGAGAATAAGGGATTAGAAAATTCTATGGCAACTTGACAGAATACTTTTATAACTGTTGAATTTGAAAATAATTTAAAAATTGGGGCTTATTTTATGTATCTTTTAAATTTCATTTCCCAGTCATTCATTTTTATCAATTTTACAAACATAATGGTCTGCAATGGACTGGAAATTAAAAACAACAAAAGATACAAGAAAAAAACAAATTGGTCCTTCACCACATTTATCTGGGGAGCACTGAACTAGACCAGAAACTCAAGAGAGCAAGGAGTTTGGCACTTCTTAGTTTAACACGTGCTTTGCCTACACAGCTGGTGCTCAACAAACCGACAGGGATTCACTGAAGATGACAGCCATAAGGTCAGCAGCATTTGAGGGTCCACGTATGTGCAGAACACTGCTTGGGTCTGCACCTGATGTTAGATAATCATCTTGCTTTGCATTCATCACCTTTCACTTTAAAACCTAAGGACAGGTGTTAATATATGGGCAACCCAAAAGAGAGAGTAAACATCTTGAAACATCAAAAATATTATAAAGAAATGACTTCTTCAGATCACCTTTTGAAGTAAGCAAAATAGATTTCCTTTGCTTTTACTTAAAGAAAAAACCACCCCAGCTGCTTTGAAAATGCTGAATGCTGGTTAACTGTGTTTCTGTAAAGCTATCCATAGAAAACACTATACTGTTCTCCAGCAAACCTCCAAGCTCTACCACTCTCCCATAGACACATCTTTGATCTCAGATTCAAGAACTGGAAGCCCAGCTAGAGTACATGTAGCCACGGCTGCCAGTATAACTGGGGGTGGGAGTGGGGTGGAGTATTTAGATCTCATTTCATTCAAAGTAAAGAGAGCAAATCATTACTTTTTTTTTTTTTTTGAATACTTACAAATACTAGCAAAGAAAAAAAGTAAAGCGATGGGAGTGAGACCCTACCTGGTGGCACCAAGAAGTAATTTTTAATTTACCAGAAATTCTGATTTGTTGGCAAGACTCACTCTCCACTACACTTGCTTCCCAGGAACGACCATATAACTTAGAGCTGGAAGGGCTGCCAAGCAAAACAACTGTGGCGATTCAACATGACTATGTATGGCTAATAACAATTTCTATCTTTATAGAACTTGACTTTTGAAATAAATTCTGGCTCATTGCTCTCATTTCCATTATTTTCATATCAATGATGGTAAACATTTAGAAGTTTCTCCCGTTGCTTCTACAAAATATCTTCCTTAAATCTAAGTGTTAGAAAATTATCATACATTTCTACACTTTTTAGTCACTCCTATGACATCTTACCTATCAAAGCTTTTTTTAAATTAAGATAAGAATTATCAAACTATTAACTATATTTGTTCTTTTGCCCTTAAAATTGTTTTATATACTTCATAATAAAAGTGAGCACCTTACATAACCTTAAAGGAGATATTTGGGGAAAAGCTTTAAAGTATTATTAGGAAAAAAAAAAAAATTGTGGTTAAGCAAATGTTTTTCTTTTTAATGTGAAATCAAAAATCAGCAAATATTACTGATTTCCAAATTTGGTTAAGAATAATAAAACCCCTAAACAAGTAACAGCTTCATCTCATTATTCAGAACTGCAGGAGGTAGCTGTTTAGTAATGGCATTCAGATAAATGCTGTCTCTTACGCAAGGTCTATTTCTCCAAAACATGCCTCAAGCTCACATTCAGTCCTCTAAACTCCCTTCCTTCTTTCCTTCTCCCCAGTAAATAAACAAGAACTTTAAAAGATAGGTATAAATAAAATACCCCCATATTGTCTTTTAGGGATCTCCAGAGAGGAGATTTCTGTACGTGTTGCCTAAATTTAACTATGAAAATAAGCATACAATAAGAATTATATTTATTAGGCAAGCTTATTTTAATAATTTGGCTTATTCCTAGTTTCAGAAAGACTGAGGCCCCTTTATTTTAATAATGCACTTACATAAATAACAATATATGACTAAGAATTTGTAGTTTAGG